CTCAGTGCGAAGTTTTTTAGATTTGCAATGGGACCCACGGAGTGAAATCGCGCAGCGCTTAAAAATTCATAGCAAATGTCTGCATCGGAAGAACGCATTCAGACTTTACCTACTCCAATGCGAGTCAACACTGTGAGGTTTTTAAATATGAAGATATCGAATACTTTTTGAATGTTTGGTGTAACGGTTTTAATTCTTCTCACCGTTCATTTTCTCTATGCTACGGATTCTTACAGGCCGATATTAGGTTACGCCACTGGCATATTGCAAATTGGGAATATTTTCTATGTTTTTGCGCATGTGCGTTACTCCACCGACACGTATTAAGCGGTGAATATTTCATTCATTGGTGCTTGCTTTAAAAACGAACAGGTGTGATGGCGTCTTGAAAATTCTCATGGGCATAATATAGTTACATATCGCCGAATTGCGGATTTTCGAGTCCATGAATAATCGATGTTTTGGAGATTGGTTTGTTAGGCCATTTTATCCATCTACCGTTACGGGATCTGAATACATTTGCTTGACGTAAGTAACATCTGCGTATCATTTCTATTGTTACTTTCGCACCTGTTCTTCGCATCACCTAAGCCAGAGCTTTGATTGCCGATAACCTCGAGGCATCTCGTTAATTAACGAGTTTTAAAAAGCCCTCTTTTTAATTAAGAGGTATGCTTAAATCTTGGCCAAAAACCAGTATTAATTCCGACATTGTTTTAGGGTTTTACTTTTTCCTGTTTTTTTTGTATCGCACGTAATTATCTCATGTCAAACTTGTGGTCACGCATGGTTGGTTTCCCACTGCTGGACCTTATTGTCATCCGATTGTCCCCCTAGAGGCCGATTGTAGCGGTTATTACCCGAGCTGAGGGCTCCCGGATATCCTGAGATTTGTAACCACGGGGGTGGACAACCGACACGAAGAATCTTAAGGGGAGCAGGAACACCACGTAGCCGCCACGTTTCCGGAGAACGGTGAAATAAACTTAGCCTTTCGATATTAGTACTATTTGCCATTGCATAGGCACTCCTATTGTTAATCTTAAGCGAAGGGTTACGCTCGCATCTGGGGCACTTTACCGATCGGAGGTACAAAGTAAGGGGATAGGAATAATTGGTACATTTACGGGTCATACTGCTGTGGATCCCGTTGAATTTGTAAGCGCATGAGTACTCATACCGCCTTGTTAACTAAGCAACCCCGTACCACGTCATTAAAGTGTTTAGCTTATAATTAATGCCTAGAACTATCCATTTATGCAACACCGTTTAATCCAGGCTGCTTGGCCACTGCCGACCTAACTATAAAAAGGGAAAAGCAAGGGTGGGAAGACCATTTTGTTTGCGGATAGACTACTATTTGGGAAGGGTGGGTTAATTAACCCCCGGGCTTCGCATCGGTTGCCGCTCACTAATTTTTGCATGTGATATTACCTGTGGGTTAGTCATTAGTTGTTATATATATCTACTTTAGTAGTCGATTTTATACATATTTATTGTTACTTGTTATACTGTGTGTTTTGGGGTACCTTAAATTGATTCTGTGATTATTTGCATGTGTAATTGCTATACTGTTGGTTACAAATTATACTATCACCGTTGAAGTTACCTCCAGTGTTTTGTATTATCGCTCGTTCCTACAGGGTATTTATTGCCCTGCAGTGGTATCAACCTTCCTTGTTCAGGTTGAACCGAAGACCTTCTCTAGTAGTGAACAAGGTGGCGCCCATTTATTGTTTGAGGTGGTAAGTCAAATCGTTAGTCCAACGCCCTACCCTGAGTATTATAGTTTCGTGTGGTTTAATTTAATTGAGCCGCTAGCTGAGGCATCCCCTTTATTTAACGTGGGGTTTGTAAATCAGCGCCACTCAAACTTAGCGTTACATTGGATATAGAATTTCTACTTCAATTCGTAGATATGCAACAAGTAGTAACGTAGTAGTAGTAGAGGATGGTTTATAAAAAGATTGTTTTTATTCCAACGTAATTCCCTACTACATGTTCCTCTATGCCCAATACGCCAATGGCAAAAAATTTAATAATTCATCCTTTTAAAGTTTGAATATTCTTAACATAGTAAAATTTATTGATATAGACCAGCCTTAATTCTTGTAATAATTGCATAATATCAGAGCTGGGCAGAATACTTTCATAAAGTATTTGAATACTAAATAGTAAATACTTTACACAAATCAAAGGTATTTGAATACTAAATACTTTTACGTCCAGCACAAGCGAATACTAGATACAGATACATTGTAAAGTATTCAAATACTTTAAAAAATAAGTATTCAAATACTCTAGAATGTATTCGAATACTTTGAAAAGTATTTCATTAACTTACTTTGAAAAGTGTTCGAATACAGTAAAAAGTATTCAAATAGTTGTCACTCAAATACATTAAAAATTTAAAATAGTATACTAGATAAAAGTCTGAATACTACTTAAAAAATCAAGTTATACTTTGTATGGGGTTAGCTTTTTTTATATTTCTATTGTTATATACAAATTTAAGGGGAGTAAAAGCGTATTATTATTATATTATTATATAGGAGGTACCTACCAGGACCTTTCTTATACCAGTTATATCCTTAAGAATACGTGTACCAGTTTTCAAAACGATCGTTCCAAGATTGGGCCACTAGTTCAAAAGACAGCCCTTTGAATTTTCTTTCGAAATTGGTTTCTAGTCTATAACTTTTGATTGAGAAGTCTGATCGAAAAAGTACGAATTGTTTTGGATTCTACGCACCAAAATTAATAAGAAAAGTGTTTTCCCGAGAAATTTTGGTGCAGTCGATTTTTGGTAAAAAAGGAAGGTTATACACTGCCTTTTTTTGAGCCCCGACAAAAAAATTGTCTCAGATCGATCCGGAAAAAAAATTTTCTTATAGAATGTGGCCTGTAGAATCCATAATTTCAAACAGTTCCATGATTGGGCTACTAGTTCAAAAGTTACAGCCCTTTGAATTTTCTTTCGAAATTGGTTTCTAGTCTATAACTTTTGATTGAGAAGCCTGATCGAAGAAGTACGAATTGTTTTGGATTCTACGCAGCAAAATTAATAACAGAAAGTGTTTTCCCGAGAAATTTTGGAAAATCAAAGTATTCAAATACTTACCTTGTGAAGTATTCGAATACTTTACGAAGTATCCAAATACTTTGCGAAGTATTCGAATACTAAATATTTGTGAAAGTATTTGAGTTACAAATACAAATATTGTTTCCATAAAAGTATTTAATTACAAAGTATTTGAATACTTTAAAGGATTTGAATACTAAAAAGTATTTACAAAATTGAATACTGCCCAGCTCTGCATAATATAATATGAGACTTTGTTAAATTTCTTGCATACCACAATGGGCCACATATCCTGTTGTAAAATAAACATCTTTCTTCAAAATAACTATAACTGTTATCTGATTTGAAATCAATATTTGTACCACTTTTTGTGAATTTCTGAACTTACGCTTTTCGATTGGTTCCCTATGAATATTTGTACTTACCCGTTACTGTACAACGACGTAGTACTGCGTACATTTCTAAATTAATTTCTTGATAAACAATTAGATGAATATTTTCTAATTACCTACAATCATTCATGATCACCCGATGTACTGTCAAATATTCGGCTTTCATATTAGAAAGGGATTGATGCATAAAAAAAATCTAAGGGATAAACAACCCATCCAAAGTTTCTTTAGTAGTTTGACGTATAATACGTTTCGAAAAGCGAGCGTGGTTGCATTAGTAGTCCTTTTGGGAATGCGTCATACTTCACTACAAATGGTCGGAATTTTATTTAGTCTTTTTTGCAACGAATATCCTATAAAAAATTACAATCGATTTTCTTGCGTCAGACCGTCCGAAAATGTATTATCTACAAATCTTTATGTCGGTACGTGTAGAGCTAGTTTATTTTTATAGCGATTGTGGCGTGGACGTATATTATTTGTCCATTACGGTTCTTTTAATACCTACATTTAAAAGGCGATTATACGAAAGTGTAAAATGTCTACTGAAAATTGAAATTGATCGGGTGAATTTATAATTTACCACACATGAGGCAAGATGCACGACGTACAGGATAATATCCGGGCCTTGATGACGTTTTATTTCTAGAAGTCGTGTAAAGGAACGAATAAAAAACTCAACTCTATACACTTAAGATTTTGCTAACGAACCTAGCTTACACTGACATCCGCAATCGAATCAACCCTCTCATCATATTTCATTTAATAGTTGTACACAAAAGGAGGAGAAAACATATTTCGAAAGGTTTGGCTCCCATTGGGATTCCTATAAAATGAATCCTTTATGCGAGGCCGGTACGTATGTTTACAAAACACTAACAGTCTTCTTTTTATAGCATAAAAATCATTTTGATAATATAATATTGGATTAGCTCTTACTCTTTCATTCCGAGTGTTGGCGATTCTCAACACTGTTTTAGATGCTAGAAAAGTACTAGGTATGCGCCATTTCTTAAGGAGCTCAAAATTTCAGACGGCAATTTAATTAGATTTATGTCTGCCGGAATGTTCCTCCAACATATCGACTTTATACATATACTCGTCGATGAAAACTGCAGGCTTTTTCCGAAAATAAAAATACTACCGACGAACGTACTGTATGTATTGTAAATTAACTTCGGTGCGAATGTGAATGTTTTCATTAACGTAAATTAGTTGGACTAATTTTATTATTGCTGCACTCCCAGGCGGTCGAACCCTCTTTTCAGAGACCGTATCAATTCGTTCTTTATTTTTAGCGAGTAAAACCAAAAAATTAATGAGCCATTGTCCGTATCTCCCTCTTGGATGGGTAAACCGGGTGTTCGCGCAACTTAATCAGAAGAACACGATATTCAATTTTTTGTTCATGTGACAATTTTTAGAAAAAAGAAAGTATCAAGAGAACGTAAAACCATAATATAAAGTGTCGAGTAATATTTACATCATTGTTTGATACAAGAACTGCAAGCAAGAGATTGGTTTCCTGTGTTTGTTATTGGGGCAGATTTGATTTCTAAACGGTTACCAAAAATAGACCTCGACGATGAATGCCAACTGTCTTACGCCAATTATGTCATTGAGAACAATTTATCACTTAATTCTTAAACATCGTCAGTTACCGATATGCGCTCTAACATCGTTCTTCTACTGATTTTCATCTCTAACTTTGCAGACAGTGTGTTTTTCGATAACTTCACTTTCGACCACATGATCGCGATTGGTACGTGCGTTCTTTGAGTTACGTACAATTCTCCGATTTCAGAAAGTGGAAAGGTGCAGCTGTGGAACGAGACCGACCAAGACAAGCTGAAGAAGGACCTCTTCGTTAATTATGACAGGTTTTCGCGTCCCACAGAGCACTTCAACACGACGAAGGTGAATCTTGGCGTGAGTATTTTACATCTCGAGACTGACGAACGGAGGTCTACAGTAACGGTTCACGCCTGGATGCGGATGGTGAGTGTAATAGTTTGAATCGAACGCAGTTGATTTTTGCCATTTCAGGTCTGGTACGATCAAAAATTGAAATGGAAGGAGGAAGACTACGGGAAGATTTTCGTTTTAAGAATAGCAGACCACGAGTTGTGGCATCCCGACCTCTATCTCTACAACAGGTGAGATGGTCTAGGCAATTCGTACCACTTTCGGGTAGTGCTTCAGGTGGTGAACCCCTACTTCGTTTCGGAGGGTCGCACGCACTGGTCTATCCGAACGGGGAGGTTCTACACGTGCCGCCTTTGAAACAGACCGTTCTCTGCGAGTTTGACTTACGTAACTGGCCGTTTGATACTCAATCTTGCGAGTTGAAGTATGGGTCTTGGGTGCACCACGGTCAAGAAGTCGAGCTAGCGCTCTACAACAACGAGGCACGTATTGACGTGAGTGTAACGCCCAATGCAACCGAAATATTCACCTGAGTCTTTCAGCTAAGCGATCTCCTTCTGCACAACTCTTGGAAGATTATCGACACAGGCGCAGCGATTACTTCGACAAAGTACGTTTGTTGCCCTGAGCCTTACTACGACATCAAATTTACGTTTAGGATAGCAAGGAACCCGAATCCCTACAGCTCGGTGGTCATAGCACCATCTATCGGTTGAGTACATTTGGATGAGCCAAGTGCTCCATTGTAACTAACGCATTTTTAGTGAATGCCCTTCTGGTACTGGCGCAATTTTCGTTACCAAACGGAAGTAAACAGAGATTGTACCTCAACGGGTTCCTCCTCTTGATTTTAGCCTCCTACCTCCTGTACTTTTTGTGCCTTTTCAGCGGAACGGGGAGAGGAGCACCTTTAATTGGTGAGTTGATAGGAAGCGTTGGTTAGGGTAACGTCTTGGCTTACAGTGCAATTTTACGTATGCAGTTTGTACACTGTTTGTTTCGGGTTGCTTTCTGAAACGACAGTCACCGTCATCTCCAGGAGCAAAAAGTTGAAAGTTATAGAGTCCACGGCTCGCAAAGTCTTCGCTGGAATGGTTGCTAGAGTCCTGCTGATCGAGAGTGATGTATGACTCGGTGAGTCATTTGAGCGCTGATGGTTGATTGTAGGTACCACCGGTTAGCAAGGAAGCTTTAATGCGAAATGACCTCGATGACGTCGATCACGAGGAAATCAAGCTTGGCGAGTATATGGTTCGGAATGTGCCATTTCTTAGCGTGCTCGTCAGCAGATTATTTTTCATCTTATATTTAAGCGCGATAATAGCGATTGGACTGCAATTCAGACTTGATTGAGTCTAGAACACGGTTAAGAGTCTAAAAAGTGTTAATGTTTTCAAAAATGTGTTTTACCAATAGTAGTCTTCAAATGACTCCACAAATTCGATTTTGTTCCACTTTCTATAAAAACTATTCTTTTTTAAATATACGGATTTTGTAGAAAACTTTTCTTATTTTCCAGTGCATCTTGATTGGAGAAAAGCACAACGGCGGCTCCCGACGAATGTTCACCTCAATTTCTGACTGTCTTATACGAGTTTCTTCATTCTCGATTCTCGACAAATTTCTGGTTGTGATCTCTAAAAGTGACAGCGAGACAATAATGACCCCATTAAGTTCAAATTCTGTATCGCTTTTGTTTGATGTGAAACAACAGCAACTTATTCACTGATTGCAACTTTAGATCGTTCATTGAAAGAGAATTGCAATGTAATCGTTGTATTCTAACCCCATAAAAGGAAGATATAAGCCAATAGATCTGGTGAGCGTTATTGAAATCAATATGTTTTTTTGTCCACTTGTATCATCTAAAAAATTAGGGGCTGTGATCACAAATTCCAACGAACCTAAAATTGACACTTTCACTTTACCTCACTTTAATCATCACTTTAATTTAGTTCACTTTAATTATCTGCAGATTTCTCCTTCAACTGTATAGCACGCAATATCACTAAAAAATAAGACAATATAAATGTTTTTTCCCCAATAAAATTATATTACAGAGAATGCTTACTGCTCTCCGTATGGCGTCTCCATTTCAGCATATTACGAGTATATTATAATCGGTTACTTTCCCTCCTAATTTGGAATAAACGAGGGGATGAGTTTAAATTAAGACTAACCAAATATTTCGTCGCAAAACGAAATGAAATTTATTATATCATCAAAATTTTAAGTATTTGTATTTCATTTTCAAGACTCACTTGGGATTAATTTGTAAAAGCATGCGATTTACGAAATAGACAATTAACCAAAACATTCTTGGACCTATTATTTTCTCTCTGATACAAACATATTTAGGGCGGCAAAGAAGAGAAAAACTAGGTCGGGCAGCTTCGGCGTTATGCCAAAAGTGACTTCTTAAGGCAAAAATCGTTTCTATTTGATATGGCGAAACAAATGATTTGAAAGAAGAAAATACCTAAATGATTTTCGAAATTTATTATATGCTTATGTCCCAGAAAATGGACGGAACAGATCGTGAGAAGAGCCAGTATTTCAATGGTACTAATTTCGGCTTCTTAAAAATAGATTTAAGCTTGACCTATTTTAGTTATGAAAATTATCGTAGAATTCCAACAGGGACATGCTTGCATGTTATGTAAATACATATAGAGAAGCGACCTTACAAAATACGTTTTGGGGAACGTAGAATATTACTCCAACTTACAGGGGAATATTCCGCCAAAAACAATCATGTACACCCGTTTGCAGTTTAAATGTCTGTAAAAAGATTCATTATTAACGAAATGAGCCCGTGTCGGTGCGTTTTGATTTATTTGTAACTTCGCATTTGCTTTTCTTACTTTAACGCAGTAATCCCTAGGGAAATTTTTAGACAACTTCAGAAATTGCTTCAGTGATTTATGAAGAAATATTTTTTGACATAAAAACGTAATTTTTCGCCAACTCTTCGCAAATTTTAAACGAATTTCCTATAAAGGAAGAAACTTGTTGAAATGAAGCGTATTTCGAGGAGTTGCTTCTGTTGTTTTATAACTCAAGACGGAGTAATTTCACCATTCACCTTAACTTTTATGTGGTAATTATCACGGTTGAAAAAATACGGACGACTAACTAGCTGCTAAATTTCAGTTAAAAGATGACTGAGGAAATTGCACTTTACGAGAAATCTAGATTAGTTTGGGTTTGTTCAGATTGCAAAATTAATTTAGTTATTCTTGCAGGGTTTAATTTGATACTTACACTGTACACATATTGAAATACAGTGTCGCATCGCAAATCGCAAACTTCAATTTTAAATGTGGTCTTTTACTTTTACAACAAAATTCTTGCACTAATGTTTTTTTATCTCGTGTTCCTATGACTACAACCTTCAAAACTTTAAATGGCGACAATATCTCCAATAACAGCGTTAGAAAACGTGTCTATTCTTGGAATTTATGTCCCTACTTTTTTATTGTACCGTGAAACGATTTTAATTAAAAACCAGTACCGACATCTATCAATGTAAAAGTAAGCCAAAGGGCTAACTTAGTATTCCTGCCATTACTCTATCTTACAGAAATTCGATGCGTTTTGTATTTTTACAGCGAAGCTGCGAAGGTAGTGTTTTTATTTTTCCAAAAAAAAATAAACTTTTAGTGGGTGCATTTGAGAACGCAGAGGTGATTGGATATTTTGATTGTTTTTGACATAAAAGCTTGTTAACTTTATTAGATATAAGTGAAAAATAAAGAATGGCCATTGGCCACTCGTTCTCATTGCCTTTTTTTGTGGAATGTATTTTTGTTCATGCGCACAACCAAGAGTCTATCTTGCAGTTTACATTAAAGAGCAGTAACAATTTAAATTCCAAGCCTTCTTTTTGCAAGTGTATATATATGGTAAATAGGATACTCTTTAATCACTAACATGTTCATAGTAGGATTTTATTATTATCTGAACTTTACATGTTGACATGTTTTGATTAATTTCATATGGTCAAGAGAAATGCATAAAATTCGTATCTTGGGCATTTAGATAATTATAGGTAATTATAATGCTCTTGGTGCATAAATAACTATTTTGATACAGTTTTTCAGGTCCTATAACTTTTGTTCCTGTTGAACCAATTGAGGAAGTGCTGTTGTGGTCGGTTGACTATTGCATTTGTACGATACATTAAACAAGAAAAAAGTTCAATCGTTGGCGAGTTGTCACCTTGGCGAGTCAGTCAGTGGCCTGTACCTCGAAACGCGTGCCAAGGTACAAAGGTTAAGTTTTTATATTTGCAGGTTATTTTATCATGTCAGTAAAACTGGAAAAAAAAGATTCTGATGACCCAACAAAAAAATAAGTGTTAGAGAACCTCATAAAGTGAGCTTTGCTACATTTGCCAGGGAATCTAAAAAAAGTGGGGAAGGAAGCGCATGCATATTCTGTAAATTATGTCGTTAAGCAAGTTTCTATTAATACGGAGGAAAATTCTTTGGTGCAATATGTAAAAAAAAAACGCGTTGAGGCAATATGGATTAACAAAGAGTGGTTTTTTTAAAGGATAGAAAACGTTCTATTTGGGGTACCTCCTGGTACTGTTAGCGCTGCAACATCCACTGGATGGTCTAACGAACAGTTGCTACTTAAATTTTTGAATCATTTTATGTGCAAAGGACGAGGGTCACGAATCACATCCTTCGACTGAAGCGGTATAAAAAGTTTCTGCTGCTGGAATGGTGATAATAACTTTTCCCCCGCACACTTTCAACAAGCTTCAATCGCTTGATCTTACTATTTATGGAATCCTGAAAACATTTTACAGTCAAGCAGTGGAAACGTGTTTGTTAAATAATGGAGGAAAAACTTTTGATATTTTCAGATCAGGATTTCCTGGGTTCCTATGTAACAGATCGAAATTTAGATCGTTTACATTTGAAGGATTGAAAGAACTCGATGGATCTAACGAATATTTAAGAATCTGATGAGTTCGAATAAGGAAGAACCCGAAGAATGTTATTAACATCAATCATTTGAAAAATATTAAAAACCTGAAGAATGTTATTCGATGATGTAAGGTAATAAAAGAACATCTATTAATATTTTAAACAAAACCACCATCAATTTCAGTTAGAAATTGTGATAGGTTTACGTTCTTCGTAAATAGATTCTGCTTAACACAAGACAAAATAGGTAAACGTTTTGGATTGCACCCCAGATTCCAAATTACGTCCTTTACGTGCTTGTTCTTGACTCAATCGTATCACGAGAGAAGGACGATCAAAATGTAAAAACTTCCAACAGAATTTGAAATTAGGCAATCAAAATCAAAAGGATCTCTTTTTATTCGGTAAACTAAGTTGGCCCTTACAGTAAACTGCAAATAAGCAAACCGGTTACTTAAAGAAAACCCTTATACATTCGATACATTATTGAACATCCCTGACGTTTGTTAGGGGTTCTATATTTTCATCACATAAAATACACACAAAGTCACCCTAGCTTACACTAGGGAATTTCGAATATTCATAATAAAGGTTGTTTACTTTACCCAAATGTAGTCTTAAATTAGCAAAATCCACCTCCACAATTTTAGTAAACTAATAATGTTAACTATCATCGTCAAAATTTGCATGTGAAGTATTCGTTTGAGGTTGTGCAAATCCCATACGCTTCAGGTTGGCTTTGAGTACTTACGATATATTTCGTTGCCTAAATACGGAAATTTCGCATATACATACGTTAGGCTAGTGAAACTTTTGCAAGTTTAGTTTAGACTGTTACCATTAACTTCGTGCTTACGTATTGTTTTTGTTCACTTTTCAGAATTTGCATTAAAATATGAAAAGTTTTGTACTTTATTAACATAAAGTTTTTTGGTGAGTTTGAGTGTTTTAATTAGCTTGTCTTTACAACTTTGTAACTTTGTGTGTTATAGTCTTAACGTTTATTTTATTTGGGCCAAGTGGGATAATTCTTTCAAAAATCTGCTTAACGGCCACTTCCTATTGCAGCTTTAATAAGCCTCGACACGAAACACGTTTGCTTCAAATCAAAGCGATGTCAGCGAAAACTAATTGACTTTGTCGACACCACCAAAAAGAAAGACGTATGTCACACCAACTAGCGTTTTGAATTTTCGTTCGTCCGCGTGAGGGGCGAGATTTCAGCATTGGAAAGTCTTAAAGGGCTAAGACGTGTGGTTCATTAAATATAGGTCCCTCATTAACACAATAAGAAAGACGTATTTATGTCGAGACTTATGTTCAAATACATATATTTTTTCGTTAAAATGACAAAACACATGATCTCTGTTACTTTTGGAGCAACCTATCAAAATGCACTGCCTCAATAGACAGGAGCAACACCTACATTTTTAAAAATGTGTTGCAAAACGTGTGATGTTTTGGTTGTTTTATATCAGTACATCATTCTATCACCTCACTACGTAAGACGCATATCAAAAGAGTAGGTACCAACGTTTGATGCTTATTATTAGTATATTTTCCTAAAAAAAATATTACCGTAT